GGGGGCATGTAAGTGGTATTTGATTTTTTACAGCTTATTTGTGTTCTATGTCTGGCCCATGGGTGCACGAAGTCCTGGGTTTGAGCTCCAGAGAGACCACATGCTGAACAGTGCCTCCTGTGGCAGGATGTGTAGGTAACGTTGACTCAAACTGTGAATTTTCGCCATCATGGGACAAATAAGTAACTAGGCTTTGTAAAGATAATTTTACGATAAGTTTACAGACATTCAATATTAAAATTTTGATTTCCGATATCGCATATATGCCGACATTGTCGAAAAACGTAATTTCCGATTTTGATTCTGATATCAAACGTTACAGATATAGTCAGGCAGTGGTTACTAAAGTGAGCACTAAATGACATGTAAAAGTCATACATAAAGGGTCAGATGCTAACATGATTTTAGCCTTTGCGGCGCCATCTATTGGGGAAATGTGGACATTGCACTGAAAAATGCAGCAATATAATGAAAATAGAAATTAAAAACTAATTTTGGACAAGTTTAGCGGGCCGGATTAAAAAGCCCAACGGGCCGCAACAGGCCCTCGGGCCATGGTTTGCCCATGGTCCGGCTAAAAGCAGAGATCATAAAAAGGTTGACAGTGATGCTGCGAAACTGTGTGTGTGTGTGTGTGTGTGTGTGTGTCATCGTCCTGCATCAACCTTCCGTTCACGCTCCCACAGGGATGAGCAACACGCTAATAATTCATTCAAATGTGATATTTCCATTCACTTCATGCAGTATTCATCACTCTGAACGTCGAGGTATCAATTAGTAGAAGCAGCCGTCGGCGCCCGAATAAACGAGCTGGTCCTAATGTGATTAACAAGCCCCGCCCACCTCTGACCTTTGTCGCCCATCATGACACTTTTTAATTGCAATTATCCTCATGATTCACAAACTAATTGGAAGAATTAGACGCAGTTGTGGTGACATGGATTCATTAGTGGATCTGACGGCGAAAGATTGGGTCACGTTGGGTTTTTTAAAATTGAGAGGCAGGTTATGAAGGGGAGTATTGTTGAAGAATTTGTTATTTTAATGATTAATTTGAATAAACTTAATATTTTAAGCTAGTTTAAACATTTTAGCAGTGTTTTACGTTTTGTTAGCTTTGAGTTATTTTTGCTATTTTTGACAATTATTTATACTGATCGTTGACAGGAAGTGTGAATGGTTGCTTGTGATGATCAAGGTTGTAACACCGCCCCCTTATGGTGACTCTCCCATGTTGGTTCTCCAACATCACCCAGAACCCGGTTTTTCCCAGATCAATGACGGCAACGTTACAAACTGTGAGGAGCTTTAAAAAAATTGAATTTTTTTTTTTCATGAAACCCCTGAAGTTGGCAGTTATTCTGTTTGGCTCTGATGGATACTGAAATGTCTGGCGTGATTCTAGCGCCTCAGTCAGGGCTTGGCATGTCATGAACAGATATGTAATCTAAAGGAAATAATCCAGCGGGAGTCCTTCAAACCCTGGGTGTTTATTTATCTTCCTTTTTTCTTCTACTGTCACAGCTTTTATGTCACTGAAGGATTCAGGAACAGTTCCAGAAAACTGTTTTAATTGGCTCATGGGCAGGTGGAGAATA